GCATCACATGCCACAAACTTTCAAATTTGTAATGTTAGTAAGATTAATAGGATAATCCACTACAGTTTTCCAAATCTCTAATTGGTTCTGCCAATGATATTATAAGTAAAATGGTATAGATAGGTCACAAACAACATTCGATTTTCAAAAACGGCACACTTATGCTAACATGAATAAATCGTATGATACACCATAAAGTGGGATGACATGATTCAATAATCGCGAGTGAAAAAGGGACAAATGAAAAAGCTAAGCTAGTTAGCCACATTTTAATGTAACACTTGCTGAGCGCTTGTAACCTTTTTACTTAAAGTATCATTGGATTCTGCGAATTCAGGTGTTACCAATATTTAACTAATAATAGCTAATGAACAAACCCTTTTTGATAATAGATAATAACTGTTCGGTCGTTCCAAATTAAATGCACTTTTAATTAACACCTCGAGGCGCCAACTGATGGCCTTTGTAATTAAAACACGAACTCAAATAAACAAAAGACGAAACTTTGTTTAGGTACCAATGGACATTTAAAAGGTATGTCACGTTAATGACTTAGATATAGATAGTAAAGTCATTAAAGTATTTTAATACCCATAGTGGGAAATATGTAGCACGCCCTCAATTAATCTATTTATATAAAAATTAATCCGAATATCCCGTGGTCATGCGTGAACGATTTTTGCGCAATTGTAGAAGAGCCAAGTTTCGGTACCAAGGGGTTGGCTCGACAGGAAAATAGAAAACCGTCGTGAAACACCAGCGATGTGCTTTCGCTGTGTTAGTGAGGTTACCGGAGTCGAACCGTAAATCTCTTACAACCCTGGTCTTCAAGCCAGCAATGCATTCACAATTTCTCGGTGCTACGGGGATCCATAGGGGCACTGATTGCTTACTATCAGGTAATCAGACAATCGATAAATAGCAACCCCTTCGATGACTACCAAAACAAATGACTGACACTCCGGTAGTTAGAAAAGGCGCTAAGCAGGGGCAACCCGCTAGTTACGATAAACCAAGAAAAGTGAACATAGGTACTTTAAGCACATCATCAGCCTGAACTGCTACCACGGCACAACAAAAGCATCGCTCAAATGAAGAGTATGCCGTTATCGAGTCACCATAAAATTTAAAGGCTGTCTGTCCATGCCTTAGTGGCTTGTCGTAACTTTAAAATAGGTACACTGGGTCACTACAAAGTTTAAGTTATCATTACAAAATTAAATCTGTATTAGTAGGTATCTACATTCATATTATTTCTTGTTTTGTTATTATTGCTTGTATATTTTTATTTTTTTTAAATTACTGAATGGGTATTATAAAACCAGTGTTACCTTATGATGCATGCTGTGACATCTTAAAATATTGTGCATTTATTTATTATTTTAAAATAATATTAAGTTAAGTTAAGTATTAATGTAACAACTACTGATTGTCCAAATAAATAAATACATTAATTTGAACTTAGAAAAAACTTTTTATCCCCGAAACATATTTTGACACCGACGATACGATTGGATACAGCTAGTACGACAATAAATATTAATGTTCCTCATTTCGGCACTGTCGACTTTTGCCCCTGGCTGATTATACACGGCAACACGCAAGAAACCAAAATAAAAATAAAAAGAAAGAACTGGCACAAGATGTGCATCAGCCAATAATAATACGAATTATTGTAACGATACAGTCTCGTGGCCTTGATCTCATTTATGAAATTATTTGTTCTTGTTGCCACACTGAATGACAAATGAAATCAGGCGCGCCGGAGTCCTTTGCAAATGCGAATACAGCTACCTATAAATTATGTGTGTGAGTTGGCGAAATATTAACCCTAAATTAAAACAGACTTACTAAAATAATTGTACAGAATGCTTTACTATGATTTCACACAATTCGAACTTCATTTTACTTGTGGCCCACCCACGCTTTGCTCTGGTGTCTAACTATCTTGCCGATGACAAGAGGGACGCTATTTCCCAAGTATCCCCTCCCCCAAATTTCTAATTCGAATATTTTCATAAAAACCTTTTCCTAACAAAAATGAATCCAACAAAATAAGAATTGGCTATTGACTGTGATTACACGGGTCCAATTTTAATTGTCTTTTCTGCATACAAAATTTCTGTGCAGACTGTACCTGACTGTAGTAATAGGTATACGCGTACATGCTTGTAAAACTGGGACCTAACTGGGCTGATGTTCAGCCAGGGTTGCGGGTCGCCACTCCTTCTTGGCATACGCTAGACGACAGAAGACATATAATAGTATTTCATTTAAAAAAAAATAGTTTTTTTTTTAAACTTTGCCCTACATTAGGATTTTGTCCCCTGTCATGGGTGCGGTTACAAACATGCAATTTCACATACACATCACCACCCAGACCCGGAGCAACAATTTGTGGATCACACAAAGAGTTGTTCCATGCGGGCATCGAACCCGCGACACGTTGTACGGTAGCCAGTTAATCGATCCACCGCACCAACCGTGCAGTCAAAAATGCACACGAGTACATATATGATTATAAAAAACAAAAGCAACATACTTATATAAAAAAGTATTGGTTACAAAGTGACTTTGAGGGTTGAATGCCTCTGTTAATTATTATGTAATGAATTTGAAAGGAACTTCTAATAAATATATACTAGTTGGTAGATATAACGCACTGTCTTTAAGAGTAAAAGCGATGTCTTGTAACGTTACATCTTCACTATCTGTCGCTTGTAAGGGGAACGAACGCTTTTAGCGTTTCCTCCCACTACAATAGCGCTCAGGGTATTGCCTGAAGCAGTTGTGACGTGTTTTTAAGTAACTAGTTGTTGCCCGCAATTTCGTCTGTCATAGTACAGATAGAGCAGACAGGTATCTCATTTGAAAAAACAAGTCTAGACGAACGTAATGCAGGATTCAGGGTGCTGTCCAGATGTCTCAAAGAGCCAATACAGACGGCGCCCTTCAGGACCGATGTCTAGTTGGATTTGCGGGGCTAGCGCAATAAGGAAATGCGACCTCGGCCTAGAGGACAGTAGCAGGAATATGATTTTTTAAAGTGCTGCCCAGCAACGTAAAGTGACAAAATCATCATAAAAAGTATGGTAATTGGATGCGCTGGAAGTTAAAAGTCGAAAATGTTATGATATAAAAAATGAACTCACAGTCTGCATTGTTATTTTGTATGCAGGTATGGAAACAAAAATAAAAACCAATTAGCGAGGTCCTGGGCCGCAGTAGGAAGAGGTACGGGGTGATTTTAGGCAGTAAAAGTTTGACACTCCCTCTTGCACCACCCTGGGCAAGAAAAATCATTGACCATTTATCTCCACGAAAAAAGCCTAATATAATTAACATTCAAGGAATAGAAAAATAATGTACAATTTTAAAAAGCATTTGTTAGATCTACGTACAGCCAATAAAACTTATAAGGAAATAAGAATTCTATTTTTGTTCTTTAAAACCAAGTGTGATCTATCTATCTCAAAGATTTTCTACTGTATTGTAGTTGCGTTTATATGCATGGTGAATGAAAAGTGATACTATTTGACTACTCCAGTCTTTCCCAGATCGGACGGTAACGCACTTTGGCGGGCGATCAGGGGCCTCACGGGGTCGGTAAGAGAGCCAAGAGAGAATCGATCTTGTAATACTTTACTTTTTAACCTACTTCCTAAACTTGCAGTTTTATATAACTATTATAACTTTACTTAGATAAAATATAAAATCCAATTTTTTTATGGTACCAGTCTTAAGACAACATTTGTTTTTGTAAGACTTACAATAACAAAATGCCCTATTTTTACATATATCTATATGACTGGATGGCACGGTTGACGTAGTGGTCCGGCTAACTACTACTAGCTGGCTGGCTGCTGTGCGAACCTGTAACTCGTTGGCACGGGTTCGATTCCCACACAGAACAACATTTTGTGTGATCTACAAATTGTTGTGTGGTCTAGATGGATTGCGTATCTGAATTTGGATGTTTCCAAACGCTCTTATTTATGAGAGAAGAAAATCCTAGTGTTTTCCTAATTTTTCTTTTATGTCTGATATAAAATTCTGCCATTATCTGAGGTACCAAGGTAAAAAATTTCGAGGTCATTTGTTTCGCCAGACTAGTCTATATCTGTGCAAATGTTTCATTCAGTTCCGTTTCAGTAGTCTTTGTGTAGGTAAAAGAGGAACGAATGTACAACATAGGTACGTTACAAACTTTTGTATATATCTACAAATATTAATATGATGATAATGTTATGTAGTCAGTCGCTTACACTTAACACCACTCAGGAATCCGGTTTTGAAATTACATAACCAATAAAATATGTATGGATTTTTAATCACCAACTTGTTTTCGAAATCTTTCCAATCCTCTTGAATGGCGTCCTAAAATACAATCGAAGGCGGTCGATTTCTCAAAACATTTTTAAATGTAAAAGTAAGTACTTAAAAATAAAAAACACAACGGCATACAAATGTAGACTTTCATTTGGGAATGATAAGATTATTTTTTAAATAAAAGTTTATCATCACATTATAAATTAAGATACACACGAGTTTATACCATTACATTACGTAGGTAAATATGTAAACATAATAATGACAGAAAAGAGATTAATTTATGGGAGAAATTCCATTAGCTTGATTACTTAGTTTTAAAGAACCGACGGTCAGAATGACTAGATCGTAGTAAAAAAATCTTCTTAAGCCATCCTAATAGTCAGCTTAAAACCAAATGGCTCTAGACGAGAAATGGTTATTGAATCATAAAAAGGTGAACGACCTCCTCTTCGCGTCACTACCCTGACAAAATCCGATGCTTATCTAAATAAACACACTACTTAACGATTGAGATACTAGGTCCCTCTACAAACACTTCGTTACAAGTAACTAAGTAACAATCAATAAAGCAAATCGTAAACTAGTAAAGGCTATACCAAAACAATATTGCTCGATGCGTGACTCAAGGTACAAGATAAATGAGCTACATATTTATTAAAAGTGGTGTCGTCGACAGTGAGACCTGTGTTATCGTATCGAACGAGATGCGAGCGACTCGTATGCGCCGACGTCGCTCTCTCATATCGCGCTTAATTTTACAACCTGACTATTACTCAGGTTTTTGGAAACTACAGACGAATAACTACGGATTAAACGTATAGTCGCCTTCGGGTGGCGGTGGTGTACAGTGAAGTGTGTGATATAAGCAGTGAGCCCGAGGACTTTTACTGACTCTCACTTTTCTGGGCCCGAGTGAACATGATTACGAGTACTGAAAACATCAGCTGTGTCAACGAGCTCACCAGGTCCAATATACGTTTGACGGGCTTTCAAAAACAAAAGACATGGAAGGAAAAACCTAAAAAAATAATTAAATACGCTAAAAATATTTTAAGAGAGACGACGGTTGAACCATGCTTGTTTATTTACATGTTGTGCACCGCTATATCATCTTTAGCTGTCATGAATATGCACCTGGATAAGGCTTGCAGGGTAAATTTAGATTATGGGACTGACATTTGTGATCGTATCTCTAGAAGAAATACTTCCGGCCTCGATAAAGAAGAAAAAGAAATTCAGTCGCTGGTATCCGCAGTGGTAGCATGGAAGTTCCCTCTTCAGACAGCGATACCGGCAGCAATGGTGCTCTTTGTAGGAGCGTGGAGTGATAAGTATAAAAAGAGGAAAATATGTATTTTATTTCCATTTATTGGAGAGATTATTTGCAATATTGGGCTATTGTTCGCAACGTATTTCTTCAAGGAATTGTCGCTGACAGCGACCGCTTTGATCGAAGCGTTGCCTGCGGCGTTTACTGGCGGCTACATCATCATATTTATGGGAATGTTCAGCTTTATGGCCGATAGAACTACGATAGAAAATAGAACATTTCGCTTGGGACTCGTAACGATATGTGTGACGGCGGGAACTCCGACCGGGACAGCTTTAAGTGGTATATTATTGCGTGCGATGGGGTATTATGGTGTGTTCTCATTATTATTGGTGTTGTACACTATATCATTTGTATATGGTTTGTTCAGACTTGAAGATATAGTGCCTCCGGATGAGGAGAAGACTTTTAATGATATTGAGAAAAGTAAACGGAGGAATTTGTTGAAGGAAGTGCTAGAACTTGTTGGAAATACTGTGATGGTAGCTGTGAGGCCTCGTGCTTTAGGAGGCAGGGCGCAAATATTTTGTGTGTTATTATTATACCTGCTTATGGTTGGACCACTTTACGGTGAGTTGAACTTGAAACATTATTAATTTTATTTAGTTTTAAATATTGTGTTATTGTTAAGATTAATTTATTTGTGACTGCAGCAGTAATGCTAAACATCGTTGCTGTCACAATGAGACATCGAAAGTGGGTCATTAACTCATTACGCCGTCTGGATTTGTTCGTGGCTCTCAGTTAATCAATTTTTGTTAAGAGCTGTATACAGAACACATTCGTCGATGTTCGCCCTTTTTTACTTTTCGTTTTTTTTCACGACGTCCTGGATTCTGTTGAATTTTTGAGTTATAAGATTGATAAAGACTTTAAGTGTTCGAAGTTATTTTGATGTAACATGTGTGACGCTGAGGTGGGGATTGATTGGTTTAGTCTGAGAATTAGACGTAGGAAATTATTATAAATAAAAGAATAATGTAAATATTTTTTTTTATTTTACAATTTTTATCAGAAAGACTTTCTTGTATTTTATCTCTTTAAAATTCTTTAAGTTTGAAAAAACGACAAATTAAATGATGCTTAACTTTAAGTTATTATAGAAAAGTATTATATCTATAATTTATGTTCTAACCATTGAAAAACAAAAGAGTATCCATAGAAAATTTAATTAGCTACGCACAATTTAACTTGAACTATTAACCAAGTAAGTTATAATGGCGAACTAAAGTAGGTACTAAAATCATCCATAAATCTGAGCCTAAGAATATTTTATCACATTTTCTATAATAAAATTACACAGAATAATAATATTATAAAGCTTAACGGTTATCAAAAATGAATGTCACTAACAAAATTACTTGAAACGCACGATGGAATATGAAAAATGATTTTGACAACTTTAAAATAAAAATGGCGGGTAAAAATAATAATTCTAACCTCAAATATATTGCGGTTTAATTTTAATCGAACATTGTTAATCCGTTTGTTGATCACGTGACACGTTTTACTAGCCTAGTATCTAGAAGGTAAGCCGGTAAATAACTTGCAAGCCTTGACTCCATTGCTTTCCTGTTAACTTACTTCACACTCTGGGAAAAAAGTGGGTCCTACTTATAGTAGTCAGTACGTATGAAAATGTATGGAGACGCATTTCGTATGTATGTAGTTGAGTTACGTAAAGGTATATTTTTTTTATTCCTTCGTTGATATGATTGTATGTCACCGGGAGCAGGAAAAATTTATTAGATTTTTCTAATTTTAAATATTTGTAAATTTAACTATGGTATTTTTTTTCCATTAAGGACGGGATAATAATTATAATTTATTTTTAACTACAATAAATATTTTTATCTTTGGCAAATCAACCTGCAAAAACTAGGTAGACACATGTTTCGAATACACTATTTTTTTTTTTTTGTAGTTTTGTTGAATAAAACCTGCTTTAATTTTTTTTTAAATATTTTTAAATAATTGTAAATTTGCCTATGGTATTTTTTTCCATTAAGGACGGGATAATAATAATAATTTATTTATAACTACAATAAATATTATTATCTTTGGCATATCAACCTGCAAAAACTAGGTAGATACATGTTTCGAATACACTATTTTTTTTTTGTAGTTTTGTTGAATAAAACCTGCTTTAATATTTTTTCGTTACATCGAACACAAACATGTTGAAAAAACTTTTGCAATATATAAATACATATAGGAGGTATCGACAGCTGATTCTGTTTTAAACAGTTTTTTAAGAATCATTTTATTTTTATTTGAGTAAATGTGCAAATTAATTATAAACTTTTGGTTCACAATCGTAAATTTCTTTTTTCAATGGAATGTTTATTTTTGTAATATTTTTAATTCTCCGATTTATGAATGCCTACCTTTGCCTCTTAATGATCGGGTGATTGGGTGGTTTTTAATACATTGCTCGTTAATGGCAAAATGTATAGGAATGTCCAGGTCGTTCACATATCCTTGAGACAATTTATTATTTTATTTCTGTATTTTTTATTTTTTGTTCCAATCGAAAATTATGTTTTTCATGTCATGTTTTTTTATGCTTCTGCGTATTTAAGTCAGCGAAACGGAGTTGGTACTTATTTTTTTTGTCTTGTATTATTTTAATTTAAGATTTTTCATGTCATGTGGCAAATACATTACCATAACAAAGCTTTTGTTGTATTTAAAATATATACAACCATTTTAGAGAAATCTAAATGAATATTGCCATGAAAATATTCTCCTGGTTCCGTTTACAAGCAAGCAATTTAACTTACACATCATACTCAGACCCGGAACAATGATTTGTGTATCACATAAACAGTTGTTCCGTGCAGAAATCGAACCTACGCAACACGTCACTCTGTTGTCGAGCCGTTGCGCAAATTGGGCAAACATCCATCATTCAAAAAAATAATACTTACGCTTATAAAATCTCTTATCGTCGATTTTCCTCATTACTGCCCTTTTTATTAATAGATCCTACTAATAAAAATACGCAAAACTTTCGGTGTGAGCTTGCAAAACCTTAAAATAATGAAAAGAGACCCTGATTTCGACACAACTACAATTGCACTAGAAAAAATACTATCTGCCCGATTATTTAAAAAAAATCATACAAAAACACGTAGAACACACGACTTATAACTAAAAAAGAAACACAAATCAGTAAGACCAGTTTAAAAATGGAATGGCATTATAAAAATATTCTTAGAAAAAAATCAATCAATCATCAATATCTACAGGAAATGTGAACGCAAAAATAAAACCTCTTTTTTGTGACTAAGGAAATATTTCAATTATTAATAAAATTTATTTAAAATGAAAAATAATTTATTTTATGTCATATAAAAAGTATTATACTATTATTTCTAATGTGTTTATTACTTTACTACTTTACTTAATGTGTGTATTTAAGTCAACGAATTTTTAATAACACACATTTCAAACGTATCGTCCTTATTTTAGATGTTTTATTCAAGTTCATAAATACTTCCGGAGTAGGTACTCGTACGTGTAGAGGTCGTTAAGTAAAGAATTTTTTTTGAAAATAAAACTTGGTAGATCCGAAAAAGGCATGCTTTTCAATGTTGCGAAGTATACAATATGTATATATCTTTTATGTTAAGAAAATATAGGTATGTACATATATGAAATCAGCCACTTTTGTATGATAAATTTCTGAATATCTAATTGTATAAAACTAATATTTATTTAATAAGTATACAGCAAACATTTCAGATAAATATTCAAAATAAATTAAACATTTATTAAATTCTAAGACATGTTCTTAAGAAAACGCGTAACACCAAATTTTTCATTACTAAGGACGAGAAACGATCTCGAAAAAAAAATCAAGTATAAGTATACCTATGTACTACTTGAATTATGTCAAATGACTTGTTAATTTTAATTTTACTTTCTTATTTATAGATAGCACTAATTTAATGCAGAGAATAATAATCAACTTAAAGACGAATGTATGAATGTAGCTGGCAATCTAATGATTCCTTCCAGTCTCCAGTCCTTATGTGGAGGAAATAATTATTATATATATGTAATACTTTCTTAAATTTAAAAAATACATAAGATAGAAAAAGATATAAAAGACAACATGTGGCATTAAATACCAATAATATTCAATTTTCATATTAGTTTTTCGTTTCATTCAATGATTTCGCGATCGATTTTGTGGTTCGATCTTTACGTAACAAATAAACCTAAAGTTGTAAGTATGTAAAACTAAATAACGAACAATTGAAAGAAACATTAAAGAAAATAGTAACTTAGAGACAAAACATACAATTTATCTTTTATTTTAAATTATTTATTTAATATTTTATTTTAAATGCATGAATTTGAACTAAAACTAGAGTACCTGACGAACACGATTCCACGACTTCTCTTTATGATCGCGACTGGTGATAATTGAGGAATATGAATAATTGTTATGAGCCACTAAATATAAGTAATATTGTGAGGAGAAAAATCATGTGCATCTTAAGAAGAACAAAAATTACAAAAGTTAGCCTTAAACGATTCATAAAAAAAAACATATGATTACACTGTGGGGACCACCCAGTCCTCTTTCAACTGGCCTTAGCGACGGCCAAGGGCCTGCAGGATTATCCTGCAGGTGGATGTTGGCGTCGAGGATTTTGCGAATTTCGACGACCGTAATCGCAGATCTCGGCATAGCGAGCAAGGGTAGCTTGACACCCGACCAGTAGCACACCGTTTCTTCTTCTGCTCTAGGCCGAGACCGCAGTTCCTTATTGTGCTTGATCCGCCAAATTCAAAATAAGTACTGAATACGTCTAAAGTAAATCCAGGAAGTTAGTGACGGTGAATCACATTATGCTTGTGGTCTTTTTAAACAGACTGTGTTTCAAGTATGTATGTATATACTAAATTAATTTAAAATATAGGTAGGAAGCCGGCATACTGTGAGTCCGGGAATAGGTTTTCTATTGAGTTCAAATTTCCAATCCACCTTGAGAACGTGTAGTGATTAATACTCATTATTCCTTGCGCGTGAGAAGGGTCCTTTGCTTAGTTGAGGAATACTGGCTGATAATAATAACGTCTTTGTTAGCTGGTTGCAATTCAAACGTTTTTGGGATACCAAACTTAAAAGATTCACACCCGGTTTCCGAAAGGCCGATCAATGTTAAAATCAATTTAATTATTATTTATTTATTTATCTTATATCACAAAGGTAGCCATCTTATGTACTAAGTGCCACAAAACCCTTGTAATCTCTTGTCAAGTCATCTGATTGGTTGACTGAATTATCAACAACCAATCAAATGACTTGACAAGAGATTTGACGCCTAGTTAGTTGATTTTAACAATTATCGGGCTTTCGGAAACCGGGCACTAAAATTGTATGTATAGTGACGTCATTAGGAACTTCCAATAGAAGTGATCCTTGGTAACACAATTATTATCTGTGGCAATGTCTAGCTGCCATTAACATTTACGCCACGTGCACTTCAAGAGATCTTATTTGTGAAACAATACCCGTTCAACCTTGACCGATACAAGACCAGCGATTAGAGTTGAAGGTATAGGACATAGCAGCCGGTTCGAATAGTCTGTCTGTATGTAGGTATTTACTGTTATTAAATAACCGTTTCATGTGTCTACCGTCTCCTCACAGAAATCTGGCGAAGAACAACGCATGCATTACATTTCACCGTGTGATTGATTTAGTTACGGTTGAAAATTAAAAATACTTAAACCTGCTAACACGACTGTAGGTACTCCTGTATTACATACAGATGTAACTGGACGGTGGCAAAATGCTTTCCAGTTTCAGTTAATCCGTTCTGTGCTCGTTTGCAAACCCTGTGTGATAATAAATTACCCCCACCTATGACTTTTAAAAAAGATTATTATTGAGGTATTTTTTTAAATAATTAGAAAATATTCTTAAATCAAAATGAGACTTATTTATCGTACGTTTAAATCCAGTTTGCAATATAAAACGATCACAGTAGAATATTTTGTATAATATTTTGCGTGTTCTAATATTTTTTGAAACGCTCGGTCAACAATTTGGAATTGATCCACGTGGAATTCACAAACTTAGTATTTGATATTGTACGTTTAAGTTTTCAAAAAATAAATAAATTTAACTTCTTTCTGAAATGTTCATTAGAATGTGCGGCGATTTTTGGGGCCAACGTGTCGCAATAACTTCACTTCAAAAAGTTCCTGCCTAATAAGGAGCTAAAAATGAAAGCTTAAAAAATTCCATATTGGTTTAAAAAACTCGTAAACATTGTACAAAAAATTAAATTAAAAAGTCACAATGGAGTTCGCATATCCTTGTCGTAATCTATTTTTGTATGAGTATGCCTTAAAATTATATTTTAGACGCCTTAATAGCAATAGATTATAGTTTATTAATTTAAAGTAACATTGGTACATTTGAACCTTAGGTTAGATTAAGCTACATTAAAAACTAGGCTTCAATTAAAAAAAAACAAGCAACAAAACAAGAATAGGTACCTAGCACTTAGCACTGGATTTCTTTCCTAACTCTGTTCCTAGTTTTATTACGGTCGCTACCACAAACATAGCTTGCCTTAATGGAACTTTAGGAAGGGTAATGATTTGTAATGATGAAGGAAATAAGAAAACAAATGCAGTAAAATAAAGGATTATATTTTTTTTAAACTTATATATAATATTTAAAAACTTCTTATTTTTTCCCACATTTTTCTGTTGATAAATGTTTACAAATAATTCAATTCAAATACGAGTAAGTATACCGTTTCCTTACTCTGTTTCGACAAACTGATCCCGCAGCTAGCAAAATTTGTTGTATTTGGAGATTGCTAACTTCTGAACGCAGATTTTCAAACTATTAAAAATGGATTTATTTGGAAAAATACCAATTTAGAAAGTTAGTATTAAGTTTTCTAACGCATATTTTGCATATAATTGATAACTACGGCTTATATGAGGTAGCTACGCCTCTAGTTCTTACCTAAACATAATTTCTATGGTGTTTTTCAGAAAAACAATATTAATTATTTTTGGTTGGTTGTACATACATACAATTAAACACAAAATATTTTTACAAGACATGCGTTGTTTAAAAACTATAGAATATTATGCATACATAAAGTATTTACGACATTTATTTTATGTCTTTCAATAAAAGAAATGATAATCTCATGTCCTGAGTACTTTATAAGGACAAGTATAATGTTGTTATGAACTCGATTTAAAGAATGCATTTTGTATTAGTATTATAATAATATATTTGTATTATTTTCAAATAGGATATATATATTTTTAATATTAAGATACTATATATACAAAATAACATTTATACTCATCAATATTTAAATATTTTGCAAGCATTTAATCCTGTAAAAAAAATTGCGTTATTTTTTTGGATTTTCGTAATTTTTCGCAGTAATACAACTCCAAACTACATCGGCTCGCCGCTGATTGCGATTATTTATGACCGTGACTATTGTTAGTCGCTTACTGTCATTCACGATGCGCTCATTGTAACTGTTCGAGAGTGGTATATATTGCTGGGATTTGTATTACAGATTTATATATATAATAATATAAGCATAAATAAAATCACTAGTGAGTAGACTCCCAAAGTAATGTACAGGTTAGCTCACTGTCACGCTGAAATATCAGTCAATGTATTGTCACGTTTTGTCTTCGCAGTGAATGTCCATTCTTATATCTTGTTTGCACGCAAAAAATAAAAAGTGTGTGTGAGCCCAGCTTCGGCACGAATGGGCTGGCTCGACCGGAGTGATACCACGGCCTCACAGGAAACCGGCGTACAATAACAACATTTACGTTGTGTTGAGCCGTGTGATTGAGGTTACCGGAGGCCCAATCCTTCACCCACCCATCCGCAATCTTCAAATCCACCATCCTCAAATCCCCTTTCCTTAAATCAATCTCCATTAACCCACAAGAGATCGGCAACACACTTGTAATAACTCCTTTGGTATTGCAAGTATCCATGGGGGCGCTGATTGCGTTTGCCGACCTATATATAACATACCTAAAAAAAAACTCAATCAGCATAGAGTTTACAGACTTTATATCTATGCCGAACGCACGTCAAAAAGCAATGCAGATTGTACATGTAATATTTTCTATCAACCCAGGAAATACTATATAATAATGACATAATTTTATTCATGCTAGAATTAACCGTATTACAAAGCGTTTTGGTGTAATTAGCAAATTTCAGTGTTTGCGGTGAATACATTATTCAGTAACAAAGGCAGTGGTCGATTGTTTTGTGATTAAATTTTAATGAATTTGAATTATTTATGGAATAAACGTTGTATAGTATAAAGTATGGAAGAGCCATGCTTCGGCACGAATAGGTCGGCTCGTGTGTGTGATACCTCGGCCTAACGCCTACTTCATCTAGTTTTTCACATATAAATTGACGTGTAAAAGTGCCGTTTTATGGCCTATTTGCAAAAATAAATTCATTGTGAAAAGCGTCGTGAAACAATCGAGCGTGATTGATTGATATAGCTGGCATATAGCTCCACACCAGAATTTCTCATGTGCCTATAGTGGGTGCGTAGGCCAAACCCCCCCATTCTTGATTTCTAATCCTCAAAACCCGACCTTCCATTAGGTCGGCAATGCACTTGTAACTAGTATAGTATTGCAATAGTTCAAGGAAAGCGTCGTTAATTGCTCTCCATTAGGTAATGCGTATGCTCATTTTCCGACCCGTCTATCGTGTGTGTGAGTATATTAAAAATTGCTAGAAATAGAAACGCAAAGAATATTACACTCTTTTTTAAATAAAACGGAATTTTGTTTAAGTTGTAATAATGAGTTCTAAAATTACTTAAAATTTACGTCAACACTGTTAACCACATCACTAAATGTTCATTCACACACAAAAACATAATTTAAAATAACTGCCAGTACTTATTAGTTTACAACTCACAAAAAGAATAACCTTCCACTTCTTCAGGACAAATATGTCCTTATTCAATGAACAAACAAAAATAAGCATTGAGCTCATTTCCTGTAAATATCCTCATCTTATTTATTTATTCGTCCGCCATCTTTTCCTGCAGACGGGATAAACAAAAGAATAAATATTCTGTTTCTCTTTCAGGTGATTCACAAGTGGCTTATCTGTACGTGATACGAAAATTCGGGTTCACAGAAGTGGAATATAGCGTTTATGGTACTATAAACATTGTACTCGGCATCTTTGGTAAGTACAATTAATTAGCACTGAGACACACACGCACACACACAAAATAAAGCTACACAAAACCAGTACATGCTGACCCTCCAAAGTGCGGACAGATCATACAAAGCCTAACTAATTTAATTTAGACAGTCTGCACTTTTATTTGGTTAGTAGGTAAAAAAATAAAAACTGCCTCAGTATCTGGCAGGTCGTTGAATTCGAGTTGAAATTTCAAGGCCTTAAAGGATCCTTAAATTTCAAGGCCTTAAAGGATCCTTGAAGTTTCAACTACGAGAAGACACGTTTGGCTTTTGATCAGCAGTAGTTAATCTAATACTAAATTCTATGACTTTTAATAAAACCACAGGTTATGTGACCAAACATTGGTACCTCTGATGGGCTTGACTAAACAAGGGCTACTATTTTACTATTACCTGCTAGTATACGAGATCTAAATATCTGTGCAGACTGTACTTGAATGAAGTCGAAATACGGCAGCTAAAAACTAGTAGGACTGCAAAACCGGGTTGTTTGTTTCAAGAGCTGATTGTATTGCTAGTCATTTTGTGGGAATCACATCACCGACGGCCAAGAATGACAAGGATCTCTTTCGATTCCTTCAACCCGATCAATATTCATATATTATTTCGTTCTTTAACTATTTTCTTCTCATCATGCTCACCACGCTTGCTCATGCGGGTTGGCGATTTCAAACTTATAACTAGAAACTATAAGTCCATGTTTCCTCACGATGTTTACCTTCACCGTATGTCAGTGGTGTCTAAATAATCATAGAAAGTACATATAACCCGGAAAAAGTTACATTGGTACTTGCCAGGTTTCGACCCACACCCTCATTCTTTCTTATGCATATCTTCTTCTGTTTCTTATGTATTCTGTGACAAAAAAGTCGTCGAGACCCTGGACTCAAATTTGTATGGTAATATAAAATATCTTCCCTAACTTCTTTCGCTCTGGGCGAGGTTTTGGCCAAAGTCGCGGTGCCTCATTACGCTTGCCCCGCAACCCTGTCTAAACATCAACCTTAAAGGGCCCCGTCCGTGGTGGTATATTGGCTCTGGGTGCGGTGAGAGGGAATATCAGTATCACGTTTACTGGTTAAAAATCAGCCCGTGCCTTCTCCCGCTACAAGCCGGGGGCGCGGTATATTATTACCGCGTGCACCCGCAACCTTGGCTGAGCCCAGGTTCATAATAATTAAATTGGGAAGGTTTTTTAAGTACATTCGTCCCAAAGTCGTAAAATTTTATGTTTGATTGCAATTTTGTATTTTGTTTTAAGTTTCTTTAAGTTTTTTTTATTTTTTTATTACCTAAATAAAAGTCATTTTCAATACATACTACACCACATTAAAAAAATACAATTTGATTAAAGTTAAATGTATATTTTCAATAAAACATTATTTAATTCATGTTTTTCGGTCGACATTTCTTTAGCAAACCAAATAAATTTTTTCTTGCTTAATGAGTATTATTGTGCAACACGAGTTAAAATTAAGCTACCTACCTTATCGACAAAAAAGGTTCCTTAATTAAAATCCTTTAAGGGTTACCTACGAACATTGCAAAAATATACGACCACTCTTTAGGCCAAAGATACCAGATACGCATCAAAAAGTTATTTTTTGTCACAATGAAATCAGAAACTTAATTACAATATCTTATTTGCATATGATTCTTATTTTTGTATGTCAAATCAATGTGACCTCTTTGTATTGGAATCCGTACATACATTGTTCAGTACCAATATATAAATTTTATTATTCTAATTTTCGACTTCATATTAAAACCATAAAGTTTAAAATTCAATAAGGGAATTCACTTACTGGCCACTATAATATGTACTTATTTTGTTTTGAATTAAGAAACGCAACTCTTTGCGTGCGCCTCGGTGTAACGCCATATTTATCAACCTAGGTCAAGGCTTGTGAATCGCGATAGAGACGTGCATTTATCACGCAACCGATCCCCCATCTTCCTAAAATATATTCTACCGCAATGCAAATAAAGTCCGCTCTTCCGTGCTCAGGATGACGTTCATTAATTTACTAATTATTTTTATCAAAACCAGTTTCAAGTAGCAGGTGATGTTCTACAAATTAACTGAAATCATGATACTTTAAAACTTTAACTTTCGGTAGATCACTGGACGCGTTTAATTGTGACCACTAGGGCTTTTATAGATCCAGTTTTTGAGCCAATGAACTATAATTACCACTTTCAAGGACAGGATCGATCCGATTTTAACCTACATTTGAAAATAACCTACATATTTTTATCATATATAGGTACAAAAGCTGGAAAAAAAAACCTACTCATATAATTTATAACTGAGGCCAGATTTAATAATATTAGGTATAATTTAGACTTATCACTGTTGTTAAATAGTTATCTTAACTACAAATTGTGGCTGCAAAAAGAAACAGCCTATATTTAATTTTTACAAAAAATGCACAAAATAATAAATTACTTTATTCTTTGAAACTACTAAATACCTATACTACAGAAAACAGGCCTGAACCAATCACACGGATTGTAAGCGAGGTTACCGGAGGCCCTATTCTTCCCTTCTCCCCATTCTTTCGTAATCTCTTATCTGAAAAATCCTAATCCCCAAAACGCCAATGCAAACTATTTGGTGTTTTTCTCGAGAAAAAAAAAACTAAACTGATTTCAAAATATCTATCACCACTGGAAAGCCAATCTACCAATCAGAGAGTAGCATAGCCTCTTTCTATCCCAATTCTTCAAAATTAGAATTGCTGACGGTGAGCTACTTCAAGATAAAGTTACAAGAATAGTTTAAAATCATGCTTTGTTTGTTCTTTTAAACCTTGGCGAAAAATAGCATTAAGAAGGAATTGTGGGAAGTAGGTTATCAAACATATTATGTACATTGAAGCATCACATACTAATCTGCAAGTAACGCCATTTACATTATAGAACTGGTGGCTTCAATAACTGATGTATTATTTTATCTGCAATATTAATTATTATCAGTCTATTTTTGTATACCGAGGGATATAAGCCTATCTAATTGCTAGTCTCTTAGCTCGATGTTTAGCTATTCTCATTTAACCACTACCAGCCGGAGTATTTACTTACTTACCTATATTGTCATTCCACTTAGATGCAGAGCTTCCTAAACTATATTTGGCTAGATAAACGGAGCACACATCTACCCCAACTTGCCATTTTTGATTGCTAATGCTTTAGGCAATGTCGATAACAGTTTCTGAACAATTAAAATTTTAAATTGTTTATTGTTGTAGTGAATGTTCTGTTTTATGGCACGCAACTCTGGATTTTTTCTTTCTCTTTCAATGGCGTTGCCGGCCTTTTATGGGATTTTGGAATTGGGTATTTAGTGTTTGAGAATTAAACTATAACCTCATCCACATTGCGAAACACAACATAAGTATTGTGTCAAGCCAGTATTCGGTGAGGTCGTGGTATCGAACCATTTGTGCCGACTCATGGCTATACTTAAACATGAGTCGTACTAAAATAAAATCAACAGATTGTTGAAAATATTAAAATGTCAATCATTGCATATATGTATTTCCATTAAATGCGTAAATGTCAACGCAAGTTCAGTAGTTTATTTATTATCGGTTTTCAAGTTATCAGAAAATAAACATTTTCGCGGAACACGCATAAAATGGAAGTTTAACGATAATGAGATTAATTAGAGCCTGTTGCGTTTTAATTGTATGCACTGATGTCATGATATTTATCGTTATGTAATTCTCTACTTATTTATGATTTAAATTATCAATATTTTATTTTATTTTTTGTAACATTTACGGCCTATGATGCAAACGATTGTCCGGTGTTTTCAACTTATGTAGGTACTTATATACCAGACTTATGTAGGTACTTATATATGCAGATACCTAAGGAATTATAGTGAAAAAAATGCTTTGAGTATCATAGAATATTTCACTGTACCAAACTGTAACCAAATTGGTGCTAGCTTGAAGATAGTCCATCTTCAATACCTGCCTAGGGGACTAATGTTGAGCTGGTAATAAGCGGGGCTACAGATGGAACGCATTGTATCGCTACCTTGACCTGGAGTAGCCGATGGCTGACTGACTAAAAACCAGGGTGGTTTTTAGTCAGTAAGAGTCTAACGCTCCCTCTCGCCCCACTGAACGCGAGAGAAGACTTTTGATCATTTTCCCCTTTAAAAACAGTTCACACAAATAATGTTCTTGTAATGTGTAATGTTAATGTAGCTTCTATTCAGACATCGTTAAGCAGGCCCTGAGTCTAGTAATACTATACTAGGAGCATCCTTGAACTATGAAGAGCGACATTATAATTTCTGCTCATTGATAAATATGTAAGTAGTAGATAGTTGAAATGTGCACATGTCAAGATCATACAATAACATATTATGACTTTGTAAATGAATATATCACGCTAACATTATCCAATACTGCGTCATCCAATGTTCGGAAATTCACTTCTCACGTCTCTCATGATTTATAGAGAGAATTTCCTTGAACTAAATGCTGGCTTGCATTCAGTCAACCGCGGTCCTGTTAAACTTATTACATTTTATAAAATAAACCTTAGTGATAAGATAATAAAGTTGATTCACTAATGACTAATTGAATGACTTTGGTCATGACGGTGTTTATTTTTTATGTAATATGTTTCTAGTAAATTCAATAATATCTAGTTATATAAGATTTATGCAGCACGGTTTATGAATATGTATTTCCTATTGTATTATAGGCACAAAATTTGCAATACCACTTACTTTGGGATGAATGACGACCTTCGAAATATGCCCATATATTCAGAAGCCATATACTAACGCCAAAATTATTCAATTTTAAATGTTTTCGAAATTGAGTTTAGTTTTCGCCGCGAATTCTTCTTTATCCCTTCAACAGATTGAAAACGGGTGCCACAAAGTTGTAATTAGACTTTAGAAAAAAGATAGAAGTCGGCTGAAGCCTTATCTGGCAAATACATATGGTGGCTGCTCGATGGTATTTGTTGAGTGCTTGGTATTATTATCTTCAATTTGAAAATGAAAACATAAATAAATCATCCATTCCCGATACTTTTTGACAGAAAGTATGGCTTAAACATATATTTTTTTGATACTTATATCAATACTTATATCAATACAAATAAACTGTTCTAGAATAGGTTCTAGTTCCTTTCATATATCCTCAGCTGCAATAGTAGAGAATTTCTCACAAATAAAATTCAAAATTTTTATAAGTAAATCACAATTATCATAAGTACCTAAGATTTGTGTCAGATTTTAATGTTAAACCCAGTATTTAAAACCCTTTCAACAATTACCCTACATACTGGTTCTTGGTCGACCAATCGAGGCAATCAATTAATGCAATCTGGTCTAAAACAGTTTCATTTGGAAGTAGTGGCGTAACTAATAATCCGTTATTTTATATAACTTTAGTTAAATTTGCACAGAAGGTCCATATACAGATAGATGACAGCAAAATTAGGGTTTAAGATGAATTTTCTTTAAAAATTTAAAGTAAATTATTTTCCTTATTATTATTAATACATACTATATATGTGTATACACTGTATACACTTATGATAATTTATATACGAAAAATGTAATCCTGAATAGACAGTTTTAAACTTTTTTTTGTAATTACCAAAAAAAAGTTTTAAAACTGTCTAATAAATCTAGATAATATCTGTCTGTAATAGATTATTATCTATTACATATGTATTTACATTATAATACAGATGCAATCTGGTTATTTACAAAGTATATGTATTATTTTAGAATTTTACAAATAAGTAACAAATCTACACGAAAATGCTGGATTCGATAATGACCCCTTGTAGTCCTCGAAATTATTCAACCTGTATATATGGCATAAAAAAGATGAATAAATTTGAAATACTAACCAAAAAGTTTAAGTATCTCAAAATACTTATTTTTTCTGAAGGTTTAAAATCGTCCAATAACTTCACCTGTCCAGGGTGAGGGGAGACGAAAAATGTCAGACTCTTACTGCCTCACAATAGTCACAACCGCCCCTTTCCTTTTGCAGAACATGCATTATGAGCAAACCTGGCAGACCACACAATACTTAGTACACAAAATCAGAAGCGATGTTGCATAAGGAAATTGCTTGTTAAATACAGTTAAAGGTCACGCACGCATATCTTACACGAGCCGTATGCAAACGTTCCTTCTGCGTGGCCTACACAGTTACCAGTAGTTACCAAATACTCCGCACTGCATAATACATGAGATGGTGCAGGATTAACTGTTTATTTAGCGGAGAACTGGCTCAATGAGTGTTTCATAGGCATTGCTACTAGATTTTAGTGTAGAAACAGTATCTATTCGAATTTTAAATTTCGTAACACATAGATTGCCGTTATGTGTGTGCCATAATGCTTAACTTACAGGCGATTACAAAAAAAATTGTTTTTTTAAAGAGGTCTAAATACAGATTTGGAAGTTTCGCAGTTGGTATAAAATAATACTACTAGTTATATTTATATTGCTAGTATTTTAAAATAATTACTATTTATTTATTCACATCACACATACAGTAAATATGAAAACAAATAGGTACAAAAACAGAGGTACATGTATCGATTTTCCTATATGGGATCTCTTCCTTAAGTCCTTCGAAAGGAAAAATGTAAAAGACATAGGACATTGTGTGACAAAATTAAAACAACAATAGAAAGATAATGAGGTAACAAAAAAATCAATAATTAAACCTAAGGCTCTAACTAGAGCTACACAAATGAAATAAAAATCTAGAAATATAGTAAAGGAATAATAAAATTGAGGTAATTGACATAGAATATTAAGTAGTACTGATAGGATTACGTCGTTTTAATTGCTAAATGCTAACTAAACATGCATGTGTTTGGTGGAATTACAAAAAATATATTTTCCTTAAACTGTACAGTGAACTCTATACCTACATAATATATGTAGGTATATGTTGAGCGTAATGAATACCCCAAACTAATGTTACTCATACAGCATAGCCATTAGCGCTCAGATTCTAAACATAATACTATATTACATCACAAAAACATTCCAAAAAGGTCAATACACTGACGGGTCGTTTACCTAAAAACGGTAAACGAATTATATGTTAAAATTCAACCATTGTTTTTCCTCGTAATCTCTAAACGGTTATATATTTATTTAATATCCGACTGCAGATAGGGTGGGTCCTCATGAGGAGTAATCCTGAATTATATATGCCCAAAAAATTAACTGGACTCAGATGCAAAAAGATACATTACAAGTACAAAACACGCCGGACATATCAATAATTTAAACATTTTGTTAAAAGGTTTTATGAACATAAAACGTCAAAAGAATATTACATTTTGGGGAATTTCGAGTATTGTTTATTGCCACTTCATTTTTTAATTAACATACCAAAGCTAAAACCGTAAGAACTTAACAAGAAAAACAAATTGTTTTTAACTAAAACAAAACATATAGTAAGCAATTTAATTAGTCATTTTATTATAACTAACTCGCGTAAATGGTTATCATATAAATAGCTATTGTTCTTCTATTCTGTCTCTTATTACTACGATAAAAGGTTAAAAATTTAAATATATACATATTTGCAAATGTTACAAAATGTTTTTTTTCTTCCACAGGAACCTTATTCTGCGTATACATTCTTAGTCAAAGACTGAACGTGCAGGACAGTGCCATTGGAGCCCTCGCGGCAACTAGCCGAATAGCCAGCTGTTTCATGTTTGCATTTGCGCCGACAAGACCGTGGTACTATTCGGCGCCTATCCTGAACATCTTCAGCCATACAGGCCTGACTGCCATCAGGTCAATAGCTACAAAAAGTGTTCCCACTGAAGAAGTTGGTAAGAAACTTTGCTTTTACTTACTCTTAACCCAAAAAAATCTTAAGTCCATAAGCTGATAAAAGTTATTTTCTAGATCCCGTCATAAGTTTTGGTAAAAAAATATATATATTAATGCTTCTAGCGATGCTGTAGTTTGGTCTCTAAATAATACATAGCAGTTTAAAGAATATAAAATGTTCTGTCTTCATTTTAAAGCAGTATTTAAGAGCAAAGGAATAGAATTGTAAATTGTTTTATTGCAGTGGTAAGCTGCTTACATAAAAGCACGGTAGTTGTTCAGGCTACTTTATTTATAAGGAGCTTACTCAATACATGCTGACCACGTCTCTCTCAATGTCTTTCAAACCCATAGAATGAACATTGGCGATGTATACCTCAACCAATCTCTAATTAAGCTTACCTTAATTGAATTGTAACTATTCGTTGATTCTAAAATCTACTTAGTAACAGTAGGCTCGTGGAGTTACTTTGATTGTTGTATTTTATCTCAGAGCAAACCGTCTAAAAGCGTTTACAGAAAACAAATGACGGAAGAAATTGCTCAATAAAATGTAACGACTTGATAAAACAAAAGTTGCTGAGGAGGCCAACAACAGCCAACAGCAGTTTGTACAGATAACAGTAGATGAAGCTATCATACTATTCAAAACCTTTACTGGAATTTCAACTTTGTTAGAAAAAAATAGAGTTGAAAATCTTTAAGCGAAAACGGTCCGTTTAGGGTAGGTGTATTAGCTGATGTTCACAGAACGCCGAAGTCTGTTGTTCAAAGGATTAACACCTGTTGCTTTAAGGTCGGAGAATTCGTTTTTGCATAAATTTTCTTCTGACCTTAAACGACCCACTAAACGAATCAGGAGAAACGTGGAAATTAGAAGTTGTTTGTTTCGTTCCTGTTAGGTTGTCGAACAATATAATATTTAAAAAGTTTTGCAACCATTTCATTCTATATTTATCAACCTTTTCTTAGTAAAGTTAAATAGACCTAAAGGTTGTTCGCTTTTTGAGAAGGATTATTTTTATTTAAAAAGAGTAACCATGGAGTTTCTTGCTCGTTCTTCTCCATTCGAAACTACACTTTGGAACGAGCGAATAGCTTCACTAAGAGTACTGACGGACAGACCGACACTTTATATATTTAAAATTTTGTTTGACGTTGAAAAGTGCCTGAATGGGTCTAATTGAAATAAGTGATTTTGACTTTGACTTTAGTTTTGTAGTGACTAATTAACGTTATTTTCTTTACAGCAAAACTGAATGCATTAATAGGAGTGACGGAAGCTATAGCCCCGTCAATATATATGCCATCAACTAGTTACATCTACGTGCAGACCATCTCATCTTTCCCTGGTGCCTTCTACATGTTCGATGCCGTCTTAACTGTTGTTGCTTTAGGACTATTTCTGTAAGTAACTTTTTTTTATTAACCCAATCCTCCCTTCTTTTTTTTGTGATAAGACTGCAAACGAGCAAACTTATTACCTGATGGTAAGCAATTAGCCAGCCGCCCATAGACACCCGTAACAACAGTGATGTTATGTTTTGGGATTGGTGGAGGGGAAGGACTAGGCTTCCGATAACTTCACTCACATAGCGAAACACAATGCTGTGGTTGGTTCATGCTGCTTTTAGGTTTGGTATCACTCCGGTCGAGCCGACCCACTCTTGCCGAAGCTTGGCTCTAACACACTTAACACATTTTTATTTAATCCTTTCTCCCAATTTCTCAAACCCCTGGTTATTATATCTTTTTTCATTGACACTGCAGATGGACGGCCATCTTCTGACTTCTTATCTGCTTTCATCAGAGTTATTAAAATCGTAAAATAAATAAGTATATTTTTTTCTTGCAAATCACATATATTTCAATATGGTGGTGATTATATAAATAAAATTATTTTTATTTTTTATGATTATTTAAATTTAATCGAAGCCAATATTGAAATAGTTTCTATGTACTTATACATACTTAGTTGGGTCATAAGTTCTGTCACAAACTTTTGATGTAATAACTTATACGCCTTTTGACAATTATTTAAAAATTATATATGAAATGAAAGGTCATTAAATGTACAATATAATTTTATTTACATTATTCGAAATGCCCTCCCCCATTTTGAACACATGCCCTTAATCTACGCGGCCAGTCATCGATCGCTGCACGCACCACATTCATATCTATGTCTGCCGCTGCTTTAACCAGAGATGCTCGGAGAGACTCCAAATTCGGGTGAGGTTTAGCACAGACTTTTTCCTCCAAATATTGCCATATCTTGTAGTCCAGTGGGTTTAAATCTGGACTAGAAGAGGGCCAGTCTTCATGCCGGATGAAGTCAATTCCACGAGCGATCAACCAGTCTTGCGTACTTCGTGCCTTATGAGCCGGTGCAGAGTCCTGTTGGAATATCCAATGCCTGTTCCTGAACATTGTCTGAGAAAGAGGTTCCACTATGTTTGTTAGGACAGTATTTTGATAAACTTCGGCACTAGTTCTCACACCTTTTTCACAGAAAAACACCTCAGTTACGCCTGAATATGAGACTCCAAGCCAAACCATGAATGAGGAAGGGTAATGCCCACGCTGGACCCTCGCAATACGCGCGCTTGCTTCTTCACTGCTGTGGGCATACACCTTATCATTTTGTTTGTTAAAACTTTCTTCAATAGTAAAAATTTTTTCATCCGAAAAAAGAATTTCGCGGTATTTTTTTCCCGCGTACCGTCGTAGCAAAGCGCGGGATCTGTCTAGCCTAATTTTTTTAAACGCTCGTTCAAAAAATGTCCTGTCTTTTTACGATAAGCTCGTAGTCCCAGGTCTTCATTTAGTACTCTTTTAACAGTGGTTCTGCTTAGCCCCATCTGCAGAGCTAGGATTTTTTGTTTACGTACGGGATTTCGTTCGATTCGCGCCTTCACTGCTTTGATGACCTTATGTGTCCGAACTGTGCGAGGTCGGCCGCTTCTCTTACGATCTTCGAAGCTTGACTCTTCGGTGTATCGTTTGATAGTACGATAAACAAACCGTAACGTTATTTTCAAATTTTGAAGAATATTGAAAATGTCTTTTGGCGCGTAACCACAGCGGTGCAACGCGATAACCGCGATTCTGTCTTCTTTATTCGACCACTCCATATTTAAAAATGAATAAAAAATAATTTCTTTTTTATTTTCTACAAGCGCGAAAGTTCTATTTTTAAAATAAGTCGAAGAATTTCTGGCCAGTAATCGAAAATTAAAAATATAAGGTTTTGACAGAACTTATGACCCGACTAAGTATTTTATTAAATTAAATTAAGGCTATTAATTTTATATAACGAAATGATAAATTTATATCTGATACAAATTAATTGCTGCCTTCAAATACAAAGTGCCTGGCAGCACTTGTTGTATCTTAATCTAATCGCACACTATGTATTATGTTGAGGTAGGTCCAGGTAGATAGACAATGCATTATCGTAGATTAACGTCTGCTTCAGATAAATTTGTTCCCTGCATTGTTTCATTGCAATTAAATGCTTGCAACACTTGATTTATCAAAGTTTTCTTAACGCGATGGTACTGCGATGACGAAAACATGGTGAAATATATTGTAAGTGTCGTAAAGCAATTAGATAAAGATATTCAGGTTTGCTTAGAGCGACAATTATTCATATCAGCTATTTATTTTACTACCTATCACAAAATATACTAGCTTCTGCCAGCGGCTGAGGCTGCGGGCCTCCACCAGGGTGTAAAACATATGTGTAGACGTAAGTCCAGACTATAGGTAATGTGGTAGGAGAGCCAAGCTTCGGAACGAATGGGTCAGCTCGACCGACCTCGGCCTCACAGAAAACCGGTGTGAAATAACCACAGTGTTGTGTTTCACCGCGTCAGTGAGGTTATCGGAGGCCCAATCCCTAACCCCCTCCCCATCCTTTCTCAATCCTTGAATTTTTACAACCCTAATCCCTAAAAGGCCGGCAACGCATTATTAACTCCTTCGGTGTTGTGTGTGTCTATGGCCGGCGCTGATTGCTTACCATCAGGTAATACGTCTGCTCGTTTGCCGACCTACACAATAAAAAAATGTATATCCATGCCAAAATAAATTCATAGCCGTTCAGTAGTTTACGGGAAGAACTAGCAAAAATCCATCCATACTTACTAACCTTTCCATCTGTAGAATATTTAGACAAATGACAATTACCAACAAAATAATCATAACTATATTTAGAACAATATTATTAAGAAGCAATCAAATTAAAACAAAACAGCATATAACATAAACGCATTTAAATTGAGCCAGCTTATCAAAACGATATGCTCTGATAACTTTATCCATTCATAATATTTCTGTTTAATAAACAGCGATTTAAAAATTTTATGAAGTAGCAATGACTATCAGTTACATAATTGCATACGGGTCGAGTTGATAACATTGCCATATTTTTTCTCTCACGGAAAAAAATGAATCGCAAAATATGCAAAAAAATTCGGGTCATGCGGGTCAATTAATGCATTACGTCAGCGACTGTAATTATTAGCAAAAGAAATCAATACACGTGATTGTTCATCATCAGCCTATGAAGGCCAACTACTGGGCGAAAGCCTCTCCTCAAAGTCGCAGTTACAAATGTATAATCAAAGTCCAGGTTTCCTCACGACGTTTCCGTCACCATATTTTGGTGGTGTCTAAATGAACTTAGAAAGTACATATCACTTAGAAATGGTCACATTGATATTTCCTAAGTTGCAAGTGAAGTATATGCCTCTTGCATCAGAAGAGGGCATTTGCCTCCAAGCCACCACTAATTAAGTATTTGATTATTCTACTATCTCCAAAACATCCAATCATCACAAACCATCTGATAGGAAGACTAGTCTTCTTCTTATATATAAAAATGGATCGCAAAATGTGTTGTAAGCGCATAACTCAATAACGCCTGGACCAATTTGGCCAATTCTTTTTTTAAGATGTTCGTTGAAGTCCAAGGATGTTTCTTACGGCGAGAAAAAATCGAATAATTGCCGGGAAAACCCTAAAAACAGTCCTTTTCTTTTTCACATACAAACGTTTTCTAACTAAAACGTCGAATCAATTTGAGCTTTATTGCTGTTATACATAAGGTTAATATTAAATAACAAGCACAAGAAATAAGTGAAAGAAGAAAAGGTGTGTTCCTAACGTCAAAAAGTAAATTTGCACTTTCTTACCACTAAACAAAGTTCAAATTCAATCATCTATCAAAACAGTGTGCGCGTGTGCTTTCAACAGCTGGAGCACAGAATTCGTCGTTTGAGGATTAATAAGTTGGGTTCCGAAAACAAAAAAAAAAATCCGATTTGAATGATTCTTTCAGTTTTATGTAGTCCATTTATTGAGGAAGGTATATTTTATTTAATTCAAAATTAGGGATATGTAATAAAATTGCTATTTTGTAACACAAGGAGTAAAATCGAAAACCTATTTTTGCGTGCGCTGCAATAACTATTGACCATAGAACAAAATGATGTACTACGGGTTTGTAGATTCTATTAAAACCTACAAAAAGTCCGCGAGAGCATATATCTAGCTATCATGGTTTAATCACAATACACGATTTCTGAAGGAAATCGTCTGAAGGAAAAAAAGCGTTAAATATGTATCGTAATATTATTCTTTATCGGAATTAGGCATTATGTTATCAAGAGTATTTATTTATAAGTATTTTAAAATACTTTTTTATTTCCTCTCAATCTCTCAATCGTTTAAAAGTTATCATGTGTAAGATGTTAAGAGTTGGTACCTTATTAATGAGTTATGGACCATAGAGTTTTTTATCAACATAAAATCCTGTAATAATATTTTTCGTAATATATTTGTTGATGATTGTAAGTATAAGATGTTTGAAGAGTATAAGAAATACATTTCTAAACTAACTCTGCTAAGGAAAAGGAAATCCAAGGAAAAACATACATCTTAATTTGGAAATGTCGTTGCGGAAGCCATATGATGTAAATGAATTAAATGAGTATATTACTGTAAATGCACCCAAGTTCTTTAATGACCAGGTAATGGCAAACAATAGTGTTATGCTCAGTGTTGTTTCAATGAGGGAAAAATATTTTTTTGGATGCTCCAGGCGGAACCGGCAAAACTTTCATTAGCTACTAATATGATATTAGCAAAAGTAAGGTCTCAGGGAAAACTAGCTTTGGCAGTAGCGTCATCTGGAATCGCTGCTACTATATTAGCTGGCGTACGCACAGCTCATTACACTTTTAAACTAACATAACCTAACCGTTCCGTTACAGAAAGAGCGTGTGCTCTATTCGTAAAAATGGCCTTTTAGGCAAAGTTTTGTAAGATGTCACTTTAATAATCTGGAATGAATGTACCATGATTCATAGAGCTCATGTGGAGGCTCTAGATAGGACTATTATAGATATTAGAGACTGTGATAAAATCATGGTTGGGATTACTGTCATGTTTGCTGGGGATTTTCGGACTTTCAAACTTTACCAGTAGTAGTAAGAGGAACTAAAGTAGACATTGTAAAAAATTGCCTTAGAAGTTCTCTATTATGGAAATTTGTTCATACCTTAAAACTATCTACGGACATGAGAGCATATTTGGCAGGAGGTAGTACAAATTTTCCTTTGAAGTTACTTTTAGTTGGAGACGGAAAAGTACCTTATTTTGAAAATATTATATACCTATTGATCAAGATTTAGGAGAAAAAAAGACTAGCATTGAGAGTTTAATATCAAAAGATATCGTCGAAATAGAAAATAAAGATTATCAATGGAAGTGTGCACAGTCGGTGCGGTGGCTGGGCAACTGGTTGCCGTGCAACGTGTCGCGGGTTCGATTCCCGCACGGAACAACACTTTGTGTGATCCACAAATTGTTGTTTCGGGTCTGGGTGTCATGTGTATGTGACATTGTATGTTTGTAAACGCACCCACAACACAGGAGAGAATCCTAAAGTGTGTACAGTAGAGTAAAGTCTAAACAGTAGTGTTGACAAAATTAACGATTTAATTTTAACTAAGCTTCCAATGGATCAAGAATATGCAGACCATTATCTACAGGGATGTTTTCATTCTTTAAACCCGACGGGCATCCCATCACATTCTCTCAAGTTAAAAATTGGTGCCCCATTATTTTACTTACAAATTTATGTAACGGGAGACTTTAGGTTAAATTTGTTCGCAATAACGTGATAGTTGCAATAATAGTTCTGACTGGTCCAGTGGTTGGTCAAACAGTATTTAAACCTCGGATCCTAATGATTCCAAATTATTTTACATTTTAATCCAATTCAGAAAATAAAACAAAAAATATAATTTACTCAGAAGTACTTTAAAATGATATTTGAACCCGGTTTAAAGTGGACGGACACTCCCGCCTGTAGTCGTAATTCTTACTCTGGCTGAATTTCGAACAGATAAACAGCTATTGCTTATTTGACTTATACAATTTAACTTAATCTATATTTTTTAATGATATAAACCTAAACCTTAATATTATACCTAAACATGAAAAGTTTGGTTGTTTGTTATGAAGGCGGTAATCTCGGGAAATGCTGATCTGATAATTATGAAAACTGTTTAAATATTCAATAGTCCATTTATTGAGGGAGGCTATAATATAGGCAATATTTAATCTCGGTATTTCCACGGAAACGACAAAAACGCAGGTGAAACCGCGGGGCACAGCTAGTTAAAGATAAAAGTAAATAAAAACGTGACAGTTTTGATTAACTAACGCGCAAGCTCTAGAAATTTAATGCAACGCCATCTATACGTCCAATTATGAATCAAAATCATCTAGACCGCACAAGTGCCAGCCTTTTCTTCTTTTGATAGCTTAAACTTAAGCTTAAACTTAAGCTATTAAAAGAAGATTTTCTTCTTTTAATAGCTTAAACTTAAAAGAAGAAAAGGCTGGCCCTAACAAATGCTCCTGCGCTTTACTTACCGTAGTCTCATGCAGGATCGATACTGAAACCGCAAGATCGCTTTGTATGCATTACGACAACTAAGTTAATATATTTTCTTAAATGTTAAACGTTTACTACTTTAAGTATTTCAATAATTATCTTATCGTACAGGTATAAGTTAATTTTATGCTGTACGAAAATAAATAAACTAGGTTTATTGCCGCAAAGACGATGCCGATGATGAGTTTTACTTTACATATTGACGTAAGTTAATGGTGCAATGTGACAAATACGCATTTTAGGACTTTTTTATTTGATTCATCACTATACTTATACGTGCCTGGGTTGCTGGGTAAGCGCAATGTGTTACCGCAGCCTCGGCCCAGAGCATGAGAAAGAACGGGCGAGTTTTTAGTCAGTAGACTACCCATGAGGAGTCTCTAGTAAGAGACTGACACTCCCTCCCGCCCGACCTTGGGCGGTAGAAGTCATTTGATAATTTTCCCTTCACAAAAAAATGATTACTGGATCGAATTAAACACAAAATCTCATTGAATAGTCTACTTATCAAGCCAGATAACAAACTATGCAATAAACAATACACTAGGACAAAAAGAAGCTGAATAGCAGGTGAAACTGCGAGAAAGTAGCCAGTTAAATTAAATTAAACAAAGTACAAGCGACTTTTTTAAGAAAACAACATTGTTTTTGGTCATAACAAAATTGTAAATAATGTAAGGACTAAGTAAAGGTTGAATTTCAATTCAAGGTCCTTTTCAATAATGACCCTTCGTATCATCTTCCTTATAAGAGTATTTAGGTGAAGGTAAAACAGATGCGGCATCCGATAAATCTGTGCTCAATTGGACATTTGACAACAAGTCTAGGTATTGATTTGCAAGTATTGGAGTTTAGAGTATTTATTAGTTAAACGGTTTTTTAATACTTTAGATATGCATAGCAATGGATTTAATACTATCATAATACTCCAGTTTACGACCAAAGTGGTGGTAATTACTTAACTAAAAACTGATTGTCTTGATTTGATTGTTTTTATTTTTATTCTGCCTCATTTTACTTGTTTTCCATGGTAGTGGTTGTTTTTACAAACATACAATTTCGCTCACACATCACACTCTGACCCGAAACAACGATTTGTGAATCGTACAAAGAGTGGTTTCAGTTGCCTAGCCCCTGCGTCAGCTATGAGTTGTTGGTGCAAGTCCAATAAAATATGCATACCGCGGCTGGGCAGGACCTCGAGAAGTAACGGGAATGGTTTAATTCAGAAGGAGTCTGACACTTCCTCTCGTCACCTAGGGCAAAAGAATTCATTTCTCCCCCCCCCCCCCCCTCCATATAAAGAAGTGCTTAGACAATGAAAGAACACAATTTTAATATGGTTTTCCCCATAACCCACGAATTGTCATTAACTTTCTCATTTTTCCTCAATAAAATAAAATTATACATGCGTATTTCGTCATTATTTGAGAAAGTAATGATGGCGTAGATAACACTCGACAAATAGATTATATTTCATCACTGTGACTTGTGTTATTGTGTTTGTTTTAAACAATAGTTAAAGCAATTATGTACATACAAACTAATGAAGACAATTGGCACAACCGAAATAATTTTATAAAGATTTTAAATTTTAGTGTAATTAGATGACGCATTAAGTCTTATTAATCCAACTACCTTGGCTGTTATAAGCTGGCTGACTGATTAGTTGACGTAAACTAATATTAGGAAAACCCTCATTGTAATATTTATATTACACAAACCATAATGTATATGTATCCTACAAATATTTCAAACATTGAAATGTGCATAGCAATGCATGGATTTTTGTTACTCTTACACGTCAAAAATACTAAATGGATCTGAGTGTAATGAAATGAATGAATGTGACTGCACGGTTGGCGCGATGTCTGGGCAACTGGCTGCCGCGCAACGTGTCGCGGGTTCGGTTCCCGCACGGAACAACTATTTGTGTGATCCACAGATTGTTGTTCCGGATCTGGGTATGATGTACATGTGAATTTATATATTTGTAACAGCACCCACGACACAGGAGAAAATCCTAGTTGGGGCAACATTTTTTTTTTAATCTGAAAAGTAGATTTTGTCTGAAATAACCCAGAAATTTATTAAATAATAAAGATACTTACCATAATAACATAATCAGATTAGTTCAATTGTTTAACTTTGGGAAGAGAGTGACAGAAACAGTTGACAGATTATAAAGGTGATAAAGGTCACATCCGCAATTCTGCGTTTCTTTGTTTTATAACTTCTTTATTCTCTCGTTATCTTAACTATTTTAATAAAACACGACCTTGATTAAGATGATAATTATTTGCAATAGCAAATTGTTTTTAGTACTAATAGAATACATATAAAGCTACTATTCAAGGTCTAATCTGGGGCCTCTGCAACCACTAGCAAGACGTTTCACTAGCGCCATCTAGTGAACGCGATATCGCAAACGCTACTTCAAAAAACTATTACCATCTAAGTAAATAATAAAATAAACAACTCTTGAGTTGAGAGGTGACTAGTGCGACCGCTTTATTCGATTAACGAATTAGGCAAAGTATTTGTAAATTGAACTGAACTGACTGAAATTAAAAAAAGAGCCTGAACTTTACGGTCAGAGGCTTAACCTCTATTTAACGCATAAGCAAAAATGGGCATTCGATATTTTTTATTGTACACATACACCAAGTAGCATTACATTGGATACTATGAATTATTGTTGTGATTACAATGGGCGGTTTTATCACACAAAGTGATTTCTTCCAGACAACCTTTAGATGGAAATGGTTAAAAAAACTTGGCCTTAAAGTTTGGTATATCTCTTTAGAGAATAAAAGCTACATTTATTTATCCCCAATCCCCAAAATTCCTTATCCCCAAAAGTCTGGCAATGCATTAGAAACACATTTGATGTTGCGGTTTTTATTGCTTACCGTAATCTTACCGTAATCTGAAGTCTGCTCGTTTGCCACCATGTGTGATATAAAAAAATATAATACATTTTCACATCACATCACACATCTTATTTCCATACACAAGTTAACGTGTAGATATTTATGTATTGTGATTATCTTTTCAGGGCCATTTACCTACTGGTAAGGAGAAGAATGAGGGTGACCGTCACGGATCCACAAAAGAAAGAAGAATTTGCAAGAACCAATGAAGTTTCACGGTTTTAGTTACCGCCATTCTAATGATAATTTAGGTAGTAAAACAAAATGATCTGAATATGAAAGAAAATATTTAGATTTTTGTTAAAATTTTGCCATAAAATAGATTAAAAATCTACAATTAAAAAGAAGAGGTGTGATTTGAAATTATTGAGTCTTTTTCTTTCGAAAATAATATCTCAGTACCTTATACTATGGTATGGATATATAAAATAAGTACGTATGGAAATTAAAATGTTGTTATGCCTTTCTTAAAGAATTTAAAATCAACGCGATTTAATTAAGGTTATATTTTTATTTTATATGAAAAAAACTTTCCTTACGTTTTAAAAGAATTTGGATGTTTAAATTCTATTTTTGTTTATTTTTTCCCAATATTTTTCGCCATTTCTTTTCCAACTGCATTTACTTACCTACTTATTGAATGGATAACAATAATTTACAGTAAAATATTGTTAAAAAAGACTGAAACTACGTATAAATAATGTCTTTGCTTCGCTCTTGAAGTGACACGCCATTAGAATAAAACCATCAGAGAAAGAATACAAATAAATACGTTAATGATACCCTTATTACCCAAATATCTATAAAACTGTTTGGAGATACCCTTTTTGGCTCAAAAGATGGCGCGAGTGAGTTCCATCCGTCGAGGTTCGTATTTTCGTCCAATGAAGAATTAGCTAGTATGACACAATCGGACGTTTATATTTTGACATTTAAGCTTTTGGACGAAGTGACGTCTTATTAAATCAGCGTCATCTGATATTTATGAGACAGTAAAATGCGATCCCTGTAACATTTGGCAAGTATTTTATCCTACTTAATTTTTGAAAAGTTTTGTAAACACAATGTTTAAACAACTAGCAAATATTACTTACGTTTCACGACAGAAGAAAATATAATTATGTTATTATAAAATGTATCGTATGAACTGTATAAAGAACCCAGTGCAATTTTTAAATAAATATTATATTTTTGTAAATAAACTAAGACTGTACTTTATTACATTTGTACATAAATTGTTATTATTAAACAATTATTATGAAAGAAAATTATCTAAGGAATATACGTTTTGTTATCTTGGATATGTGCCTTTTATTTATTTTATGAGAAACGGTTCAATGTTCCCTTATCTGCTGGCTAATCATGTGAAGTGTCAAACATTAGTCAACCTAATGACAGAATCAAGTTTTGGTTTAAGAAATCAGTATTTCATAACTTAGAATAAAGTTGATGTCACAAATTGCAGTGAAAAGATTTTATGTGTGAGTATGAGTGTGACGTGAAGTCAGTACCCGAAGAAATGTGGCAAAATATATATAGCTCATAAAAAAATGTTTTTTAAATTCATGTTTATCTGGTACATGGCTATCAAAACATTGTTTTTTTTTATGTTATAGATCGGCAAACGAGCAGACGGATTACCTGATGGTAAGTAATCAGCGCCGCCCATGGACACCCGCAACGGCGCGGAGGAGTTACGAGTGCGTTGCTGACCTTTTAGGGATTAGGGATTGAGGAGAGATTGGGGGTGGGGAAGGATTGGGCCTCCGGTAACCTCACTCACACGGCGAAACACAACGCTGTGGTTGTTTCAGGCCGGTTTTCTGTGAGGCCGTGGTATCACTCCGGTCGAGCCGACCCATTCGTGCCGAAGCATGGCTCTCCCATACTTGTTCTGAAATAGACCCTAATAACTGTTATCGACGATGGGTTTTTTTGCCTTATAGCCATAAGGTAAAAAAAACATCGTAACTAAGCTGGAAAAAAGTAAATACTCCACCAAGACACAGCCAATGTTATTGTAAATCCTCATTCAAGTGACTCTTAACCTTCGGGCCACCACAGCCAAGCTTCATCAGCGTCATCTATAAGCATATTTTAATTTGATCCAAAATACTAATCTCTTTACAAAAAAAATAAATACTAGACTGGCGACAGCTCAATGATTCAGCATAAAGAAAATAAGATACTGTACCTTGACATATAAAATTCCTTTTGACTCGAGATGTAAACTTGAAAAAGGTTTGTAGTAGGTTGTATGTAGATTTTTGGAATTAAATATTTATCAAACGATCTTCTTCTCTTGGTGGAGAAGTTCAATAGAATAACCCCACTTACTATTTATGTTAGTTCAAGATTCAGTAAAATTAGTTATGCACAGACACATCTAATGAGAAACCAAATGGATTTCAAATGTGGAACACCAAAGGCACCTTCATAGTACCTATTCGTTAGCCGGGGTCGCTGGTCGCGCAATAACGTATCGGTGCTTCGGTCTGGAGCAGGTGGAGGAACGGGGGGTTTTTAGTCAGTAAGAGTCTGACACTCCCTCTCGCAATACCCTGGGCAGGAGGAGTTACTTGATGATTTTCTTTTTTGACTGCACGGTTGGCGCGGTAGCTGGGCAACTGGCTGCCGCGCAACGTGTCGCGAGTCCGATTCCCGCACGGAACAACTCTTTGTGTGATCCACAGATTGTTGTTCCGGGTCTGGGTGTGATGTGCATGTGAAATTGTATGTTTGTAAACGCACCCAGGACACAGGAGAAAATCCTAGTGTGGGGCAACGTTTTTTTTTAAAGAAAAAAAAATGTCACTAAGAGCGATAAATACAATATATTTTATGTATAAACCCTTTTTGACACAGCTCACTTGATTAACCTACCCACATATAGCTATTCTGATGCGAGATAAAAAGTAGCAAGCTGATTACCGATAAGTATAATCCCATTACATTAATGGCATTTTGATGAACAAACTAATCATTTTTATCGAGGCTTAAATACCTTTAAGACCTTTTGACCTTTCACCAGATCGCGAACCACCCATTTTTTAATTACACGCATAATCACCGCTTTTCATAGAAACTAGTAACGGAAGAAGAGTAATCCATTTTCATGAAGTACATTTTCATGAGTACGGCATTTTCATGAAGATGTCAAGGTCCCACGCTTACATGGGCGTATTTTACCCTGTGGTTGACAGTAATCAAATCAACGGCAAGATTGAGAAACCAGGTTCAGGTTGAGGGATATTCATAGCCCAATCATTTGGTCTGTCTCTGCCTGTGGGCATTATTATGGCTGCGTGACTATCGTTTGACCCTCTGGTCGTATGGCCAGTCAAGATACAACAATTCTGATGAAAATGACCCCTTATTGAAAATTAAGGAAGCTCTCGCATCAACTGAAATAAGAAAATTGTGAAAAGACAAAGACAGAATAGCGTATTGGTTACCTAAAATTATAATATAAATACCTATAATCGAGCTAGTAATTTTTGTAATATCAGCCGGGACTAACTGTTTTGAATTCAGACTTGAGGAAATCCAAATTTTCTTTACTAGGCTCTCCTCATGGCATACTTAACTATAACAAATTATAAGCAACGAATTTAAATCTACATATACATATATAGATAGCTTTATGTATAGCTAGGTCTAGATTTGTATGTTTGCCATACAAATTAAAAGATTAAACATCCTTTTTTGGGGTTAAATTATTTCATGGATCAATTATCAAAATAGGTAATGGAAATGATTGACTAAGAGCTGATTTTTCAATAGTCCGATAAATGTTATCTGAGGAATAAAATTGTTGCTGTCACTGTCTTATACAAGCATTCTAACGCGACAGCATCATTATTATTCCCCAGATAACTTTTATCTAACCATTTCAAAATTAGAAAATAAATGAAATAAATTATCATTAAACGAGGAAACTGTCGGTCAAAAGTGAAACGAAGAATTAAATTGTCGTGTAACAGGTGAAGCCAGAAGTACCTTTGATTTTCTTGGTCTCTGGTAAAAATTTTCAATTAAGTTGCATTTTAATTTCATATTACATTTTCGGTATAAAAATTTAGCAAAAAAAAAGAAGTGTGAAAATATTTCATAACGAATTCTTTTTGAGATGCCAAGCAAATTACTTTCACATTTTATCTCAGCTGGCAATAAGATAAGAAATTCTTATTATGCCTTCATATCTATTGACACAGTATTTCACCTCTATGCGAATATTATCGTAAGGTTTTATTCCAAAAATTACCGACTCAATGGTTTTAAGACTTCAGATTAAAAGTATTACCAGTATTAGTGTAGAACATGAATGGACTTAACTTTTCTCATCTCATCACGATATTTAATAAAAGTATAATAATTTTAGTAGCTTTTGTAATAAAAATCGCATTAAAATGTTTTCAGTTCTCTCTATTACAATTGCTTTTGTTGACAACTGTGACATAGTAAAATATAAGTGTGGGAGAGCCAAGCTTCGGCACGATTGAGTCGTCACCGACTCGACCGGAGCGATATACCACGGCCTGATAGAAAACCAGCGTGTAACAACCACAGCGTTGTATCACCGTGTGAGTTGGGTTACCGGAAGATCAATCCTTCTCCTAACCCAATCCCAAAAGGCCGGGAACGAACTCGTTTCTCTTCTGGTGGTTAAAAAAAAATAACTATACTGATTCTTCCATTCATGTCCTTTAAGGCATAAGCAGTCATAAACTAGTCTGCAGATTAAATAAACCTTTAACAAAATAAAAAACCCACAATTTTTTTAATCTAATGTTACTTAATCAAAACTGGCTATGTGTGTGCCAGACTATGGGACGAAATGTTTTGAAGGTATCAACATAAGTGTGGGAGAACCAAGCTTTGACAGGAATGGATCAGCTCGGACCGGACTGATACCTACCCCGGCCTCACAGAAACCCGGCGTAAAACAGCCATACCGTTGTGTTCCCCGTGTGAGTAAGGTCGAAACTCACATCACATCAATGGTGTCCTGTTTTGCTCTTTGAGTAGGTATGCGATTCGAAAAGACAGCAAATAATCACATTCTTGGAGAATGACAAGAACGAAAAAAAGAAATGTCGAAAAGTCATTTATTTATCTAAACTTATCTCCCTCTAATGTGCTGTCGCAAACATAAAGTCTGAATGGAGAACGACACATACATGAGTCTACAAACGTAGTTAGGTATTTACCTTAAATTTAATCTCGATAATGACTAGGGACATTCAGAAACATACATTTATGTCTTCCAATTTTAT